ATGGAGCAGCCTGCTGACAAAACGGATCTGACAACAATGGACAATCGGCTGAAAGAACCGAATAATTCTCTGGTCAACTCCGATGCGGAGTTGAGCGACCAGCGTTCACCAAACCCGGGACTGGGGGGGGGGCGGTGTTTCAGTAATGTGATATTCACAGGCTATATGAAGTCAACAAGAGGAATGACAGGTTTAGTCGGGGTCTTCTGCACACGTACCGGGTTCACCGAGTTTTATCGGTACTGGTTAACTGTACACCGGCGATTGGACCGTATCAACACGAAATGGGCCGTGGACACCAGCATCGCCATGTCGGACCGCACGGTTCACTCCTCAAACGACTGTAGCCACTGCAGTCTGGAGACTCGCCACACTATTATCGAAACAAGTTCCAACTCGACTGCCTTCAGTAAGTTGACTCGATTACGGTCTCATCCGTCCTGCGTCGAACTAGTTAAGTAATAGAAGGTAGTGTTTTCCACAGAGATTGTACCCTTGTTCTTTAGGGTTCCCGCCCAAACAGAAGCAACACAGTTAACATTGCAATCAATCAATCAATCAATCAATCAACAATCAATCATTCATTCAGTCAATCAATCAATCAATCGACCGATCGATCAACCAGTCCGTCAGTCAATCAGTCAGTCAATGGAGCATTCTATCTATCAATCCATCAACAGATCAGGCAACCAGTTAAACTATGTATCTATCTATCTGTCTATCTGTGTATGTTAATAATAACGGATTCACAGATCAAATTTTAAGCAGGAAATCCAATATAGTTTAATAAAATCCAACAAAGCGGTGAGCATAATCAGGCCCTCAGGCATACGCACGAGCCTATGAACGCTCAACAGGCGTACTTCCGGCAGCCTGATCATCATTCAGTTTTGAACTTTTCGTCAATCGATCGCAGTTCGATGTGACTTGGTCCATAGTCGCCTGTTGTGCGGACTCTGGTTTGTGGGCTACATGCAGTAAGCTGTGCTATGGTAACGCCGTTGTTTTAAGATGTCTTCTCTGTGGGGGCGTTGGCTTATCTGAACCATATGTGCAAGCTGGCTATATTGCTTGTAACAAATACAAACAAACAAACTCAATATGCTTGTCAGACAGGATCTTATA